TAATACTGAATTATAAATGATTTTTTTATTTTTTTATTTTATATTATTATTTAATTTTTTTTGTTTTTACTTTTTAAAAAAGTAAATATAAAATCATTAATAAATTTATTATGTAATATATAATTTTTTTTATATTTGTTATATAAAAATTTTTTTAAACTTAAAATTAATAAAATATCTTCATAATTTTATTTAATAAAAAATTTTTATTTTTTTTTAGTTTTTCTAATAACTTTTTTCTTTTAAAATTTCATTTTTTTATTTTTATTTTTATAATAAATATAAAATTAATTTTTGCTTTTAAATTTAAAGTTATTAAATTTTAATAATAAATATATTTGATATTAAAGAAAATTTATATTTAATATTTAATTAATAAAAAAGTAATAAAAGATTTAATTTAATTTATTTTTTGCTTTTAAATTAAGTTTAATTTTTCTTAAATTAAATTAATTTTTATATAATAATATATAAAATATTACTTATTAATATTAAATCTTCTTTAATATTTAGATAATTTTATTTAAATTTGAAATGATTTTAAAATAATAAAATTTTATTAATATATCTTAAGAAGTTTTAAAAAGATTTTATTTAATATTTATAAAAATAATATTTTTTTTATTATCTCTTTCAATCTTTTTATAAAATTATTATAAATTTTTTTTAATTATAGATTATCTTATTTTAACATTATTTTATTTAAATAATAGACAATACTATGTTTAATATCTTTAGTTAAGATACAATTACCAAATAATAATAAATAAAAATGAAATAATAAAATTTGTTCTGATTATAAAGATATTATAAGATTAAATTAATAAAGCATAATTTACTTTCTTTATAATCTCCTATACAAAAACAATTTGCTTCATCTTTTTTATCCTAATGAAAATCACTTATTATATTAAAATTAATAGCAATCATTAAAAAAATTTCAAAAGATTTTGATACAAATAAACCCCAAGAAGAATTGTTTAATTTTATATAAAAATTATTATAATTCTCTTTAATAAATTGATTAATATAATTTGATAATGGTTCAAGAACAATGATTAATTTATTTACACATTCTAAATGATTTTAATTATGACTACTTGTTATTTCTGCACTAATATAAGGAAATTGATTATATGTTCTATAAGCTTCAAATGTTCAATCATATCATTCCAAAAAGTTTCACTTCTATGTGATAGATTATCTAATGTATGAAAATAATAATCATTTACAGCTTTTGTAGTTTGTAAAATAGCATTATTATTATTAATGCTATCTAAATATATTAAAGTTTGATTATTTTGATCTACAATACATTCAGATTTTGTTAAATAATAATAATTTTTTTTAATTTATCTAATGTATTATTATTTTCATTTGATAATTTAATTAAACTATTAAAATCATCACTAATAATAATAATATCTAATACTATATCTTAATTATTTTGATAAATTAAACCATGTTGAAATTTTCTTCATTTATTTTTGATAACTTTTTTTACTTTTTTTTAATTTGTAACTTTTTTATCCCTAACCATTTACCAAAAGAAATCCATATATCTTTATTTTCATTTATATCCTCATCTATGTCTTCATCCATGTTCTCATCTTCATCCATATCCTCATTCATATCCTCATCTTCATCCTCATTATTTTCATCTTTACTTTTATAATTATTTATTATATGTTCAATTAAATTTAAATATTTTAAAGAAATTCAGATTTTTCTTGAGAATTAATAATTATTATTTCTCTAATTAACTTTGTAATTAATAAATCTTTTAAAGAAATCTCATATTTCTTTTTAATATTTTTTGATGAAGGTATGCAATCTTCTGGATAAAGAGAACCAATTTTCCAATGCTTTTTTATATAATCAATTTTATCTGAAGTATATAATCCATGAGAGCTCATTTGTGTTCTATGTTTTGTTGAATCATATAAATCAGTTAATTGATCTATATCCTTAATATTTCCAAGAGCCTTATTTTGACGAAAACGAGCTTGTCAGGATAATTGTTTAGACATTATAAATTTTAAAATAATTTTGCTAATATATTTTACAACAGTTTCAGAAGTATATATTTTCATATACACATTATTAATTTTGATTCTTTGTAATAAAAAATTCTTTCTGAAAAAATTGTAAAAATCCTACAAAAGATTAAAACACAGCCCAAAGAAAGAAAGAAAAAGTTATGACATGAATTCAGGTGAGATGAGAATGAAGCTACAACCTTTTACACATGTGTAAACATACCAGGCATAGGGACAAATTCCTCTTCAGTTAATTTCCTTTCGTTGTGAATGATGTGAGAGACGAGAAAGACCGTTATAAACTAGATTAAAAAAAAAATTATCTCAGTATGGAGATCAATGTAAAGTCACGCATGCATTGATCAGCGTAGCTCTAGATCTGATAAGCATACATTTTTATGTATATTTTCTTTCATCAATAAATGCCTAATAATTGAAGAAAAAATTAGTGAATAAGTTAACAATTACTTACCTCTTTCCTTTTGTAGGTACCGGATCGTTCTACAAGATAAGTTTATGTTATGTTTTTAAAAAAATTTAAAAAAAATTTAATTAAAAATTTTTTTATTAGGACTTACCTCCAACCCAAAAATTCCAAGGTTAGAGGTTCCGGCAACCGTGTGTTGAGAAGGTTTTGCCTGCGTGTAAGCTGACGAGTAGCGCCAGCGTGTGCGTGGTCATGGAAACGTTTGGTTGAGCCCGCGTGTCTGAACATGTAATGCTTCACTTGAGCTAAACCCATTGGGCAGCGTGTCGTTGGGGGAGGGCCTGCGCGTCCGTAGCTTCTTGTGAACTTCCTTCCCATATGATTTTTTTGTATCGAAGTATATTATTGTATTTTATCGTGTTATTACTTTTTACATATAGGGTATTTCCAAGAATGAGAAAAACAAGAAAATCTGGAATGCGAGGGATCGAATCGCATCCTTAACGGTGGAATCAGAGTTGATTGACCTGGAATCAAAAATTAACAAGGCAAATGATTTATTATACTTTTTTAATTTGTTTTAGCGACTCTTCCTTTGATCCTTACTACTGAACTTGCTATTTGCAGAAGAAGGGAAGGCAAGATGGCCTCCAGATAGCACGACGAGGATTTCAAGTATATGCTGACACTGAGTTTGATTCAGTGGAACGAGAGCGGAAGAGGAAGAGAGAAAATGAAAATGACAAAGTAGAAGTTGACTCACCCGTTACATCTCATCCGTACTTCCACATTCACATTCTTCCACCGCGTTTTGTCACGCTCTCTTGAAGATATTCAATCAACATCGACAGATGTTATTTTCGAGAAGCCGTTTGAGGGAAAGTTTAACTTTGTAAAGCACTATCGCCTGTTATGGGTACAGGATATTTTTCAACGATTGTAAGTTTATACCTCGTTACTTAATATGGCGTAACACAGTAATATTGAGTGACATAGTTAATTCCTTTTTTTCTATAGCATGGTTTTGTTCGCCTCGACTTTTAACATACTTGTGACGCGAATGCACAGGAGATGGCTTACAGAGACTCATTCGTCAATCCCTTAATTCCGAAAGTATTTGACGATATGATAAAATTAGATTCCAAGTGTATGTTATTATATCGTTTCATTTATGTCTGATGTAACGAATTCTTTATTCATCAAATATAATATTTTTTTAGTGGAGAGATCGAAAGTACTTTACGTAAGCAACAAAGGAATCAGACAAATGGTCGAAAACCTCGGGTTGGCCTTGGGTCAAAACATGACGGCATTTTAAACTCCATTGAATTTGCTTATTTTTATAGTGATGCAGATATCAATCTTTTATCCACCTAAAACGTAACGCAACAAAAAGTCAGCTCTTATGCCTTCAAAGTTTCGGTGTACTTGTTTATCGTATGTAAATTACATTCTGCGTTGTGTTATATTTGTAATTATTAATCGTATTTTGCTTTATAATTTTAGAGCGTGAGACGACAATCTACGCAATGCATCGTGCTAAAGGAGGATTACACATTGTAGATATCATTACAAACTTTACGATCCCAGATAACAAAGACCAAGTGTATGTTATTGATGAAATAATAGAAAAAGTGTATTTTTCAAGGTATGAGTCCTGAAATCGCTTTTACAACATGATTGTTGATCTAACTTCATGTTTGAAATTATAGAGCCGAGTAATGGACCATTACTTAAGTTGCAAGAAATATCGCGAAAGTACAAGAATACTCTCCCACTAACGAAAATCCACTAGAAGCGTCGCCATCCAAAAGGGCATTAAGAAAATTGTAACACGTTTACATTGGCATGTCATAATTTGTAAAAATAAAATGCTGTATCAAGACAAATGAAATCCTAAAATATTTTTAAGTTTTTACATCATCATGTGAGTGTATGCAAATTCCTCTGATAAGCCAAATGTGAGCGAATAATAAATGCAATCATTGTTGTAATTTATTTGTATATTACTTTACAATATATTAAATGATAATTAATTACAGTAATTATAATATCTCATTCTAGTCTTATGTAAAGAAAATGCATATAAAATTAATAAAACACTAACATGAATTACCCTAATTACATATGATGCTTTCTATTATCTCAACTTTTTTGTATTTCTATATTGATCAATCTGTCATTTTCAAAATTTGAATCTTTTTAACACCCTTTCTGGTATATTAGTCTTTTTTTTTCGCATCTTCTATGTCTTTGAATTCTCTCTTAGTCATGATTTTATCTGCCCAAGTTTCACCAATTCCATACACTGATAGGAGATCTCTGCGACTTGCTTTATTAATGTTCAAAGGACCTACATTAGCGTAAGCATGTGCCCTGCCAGAATAAGGACCGAAATATTTGCCCCAATTGGACGCGTCCACAATTCCAGAATTTTTTGGTAGTTTGAAGTTCAAACAATTTGTGGTTATAAACAAAATAAAAAAGTCTTTATTCATGCAGACTTCTTACGTTCATTTTGGTAATCTTGTGCACTGAGAGAATGCGCTTTCCATCTTTTGTATTGATGAACTTCGTTCGGTTTTCCTAACTTTAAATTAACATCAAGCCCAAGGAACGCATCACCATATGGCGCAGATGCACCATTAATGATACAATACTTGCATTCACGTACATCTACAGTCCGCAACATAAATATCCAGAATTTATCGCGACAAATAAAAAAATTGTAAATCTTATTTTATTCGTTTCATA